TGTAAAATTCTATTAGAAATAATTGGACAATAATGATTACATCTCAGTTCCTTTCTTCTGCTGATGTATATCCAGTTGCGCTGTGGGACCCATATTTAGATCTGATATTGTGGTAGACACATGCTGGCAATGACCTACTATTCTCCCAGCCCAAGTAGCTGAAGATCCATCGAACCAGCCAACTGTAGGCTGTAGCTCTATGAAATCTGTGATAAAGGTTTGAAGACATAATTTATTGTGAGAAAATGGACATGATTTGTCTTGCAGATGGAAAAAAAACATCCAGGACAGTCTTGAATACAGAGGCTGACAAAAAATTATTTATCAATTGTAAATCTTGCTGTTATGTAAACAAATTGTACTCATTCGTTTTCTGCGGTGCCATTTCTGCGGCGGTACGTTTTACCATTTCTGTCCCGAGGTAACGATGCCACCTGTCTCCGGACTGTGTGATGCACGATATTCGTTAAATACTTCCATCAAATGTACGTTTTCCACGTGCACAGTCCACTTCCATGCAGCTCCTAAACTCGCGAGCTGATACCAGCATAGCATCACTGCACTGGGTAAAGAAACACCTGATGAAAAATAAAACCATGGTGAGCTTATCTCGTTCTAAAGTAGAAAAAAAATGAAAGGTAATTTTCCGAGTGCAATTGAAAGACCGGATGCAAGAGAATCCCTAAGGTTGGTTGTAATTTCACCATCATGTTTCGTTTTAGCTTTAGCGTATACAAACGGGGTACATTAGAACAAGGTAAGACACACTTACCACGTGCTGGCGGGTTCTGTTTTCTCAAATCTTCGCGATAAAGTGGCAGAAGATAAGCCATTTTCATCCTCTTCATTCCTCTTCTTGTCCGTTGCTGTCACTCTCATTGGAGTTCGCCAAAGGTTCGTCTTGGTAACCGCGACTATCTCGCTCATGATGCCTGTACTGACTTCTTCAGAACTTGAGAATGATTTTACATCATTCTCAGATGATGTACAAGAGAACTCTTGATCGCTGTGATCGGTTTCCGACACACGTAGCTCGTAAACGACAAGTAGAATAACTCAAAACAACGGCTTTATCAGTGGGAACAACATCTCCAACACAACCGATAACGTGACAGCTCTATTATTCGTCCCCAGGCTCTTGTCCCATTTTTTGCAGAAAAAATGCGAACTTTAATCGCTTTTTAAAATGAGTTCTTGAAACGTTGTGACTTCCTTTTTTTTCGCTGAAATACTTCTCATAACATATATTTTTAAATGTGAGAAAAAAAGGGGGGTAAAATTTCGAGTCATGTGCAAGAGTTTTGAAATTGATTGCAGCAGTCTTAAAAATCCCTCTGGGGGAAATGATGAACATCTCAACTGACAGCAGTGTTTTTCCAAGTGAGTGGAAACCTGCGCTTGTTGCACCGTTGCACAAAGATGGACCTAGAGATGATGTCAATCATTATCGGCCCATTGCAGTCCTGCCAGTGCTTTCCAAGATTCTTGAAAGACACGTATCGAAGTCACTTACAAACTATTTAAATGAAAACAATCTTATCTTTAAGTATCAATCTGCCCTCGGAGAAAACCACTCTACAGAAACAGCCCTTATAAAGTTAACAGATAAACTGCTCTTTAACATGGATAACGATAAGGTAACTGGGATGATTTCAATTGATTTCAAAAAGGCATTTGACCTCGTGAATCATGAAACTTTGCTGCAGAAACTTCAGATGTATGGCCTCATTGACTCAGCAGTGAAATGGTTTCGCTCCTATCTGTCAGACAGACAACAATGTGTGAAAGTGAACAGATGTACATCCTCTCTGTTACCAGTCAACAAAGGTATTCCACAAGGAACCATTGTTGGTCCCATGCTTTTTCTCATCTTTATAAATGATGTCCCACTTTAAGTCCAAAATTCAAGTATGAATATCTACGCCGATGACGCAACATTAATATAAAGTTCAAGATGGGATAACATCTCACCCATGAATAACAATATTCAAAAAGACTTAGAAAATATCCAACAGTGGGAAATAATGAACAAAATGATCATCAACGAGAAGAAAACGAAACGAATGCTTGTTAGAGGCAAGAGACTGAGAAAACGCAGGGAAAAGCAACATCTAGCACAGTGTAGATCAACTGCCTATAATTCTCAACAATTCACCAATTGAGAATGCCCATTCACATAAAATCCTGGGAATCGAGGTTCATGAAGATCTTGACTTCACAAAATCATTGTGAAATCCTTGCTAAAAAGATCTCAAAACGAATTGGCCTGCTGAAGCATATTAGCCCATATTTGAAGAGAAACCAAAGAGAAATTTACTATAAAGCAGTGATCAAGCCTGTTATTCTCTATGGTGCCAATATATGGACATCAACATCAAAAGGAGATATGAACAGCATTTTTGAGTTACAGAAAAGAGCAGCAAGAATCATCTTGGATGCCGAACCCCGCTCTCGTTCTGTTTCACTGTTCAATTCATTAAACTGGATACCATTTGACCATGAATCTTATGCAATTAGATGTATACGTTCTTTACTCCTTAAGAGAATCGTAGGAAAGACGCCAGTCTATCTGAAGCAAATGCTTAAATTGAGCTCTGACACCCTCTGACACCCTTAAATTGAGTTCTGACACCCTCAATAGAAGTACCCGCTTTAGTTACTTAGATTTTAACTGTCCCCGTTACAAAAATGAAACAGAAGGTGGGCGAAAATTTACTGTACGATCAATCAAATAATGGAATAACCTGGATAAAGACCTTAAAGAACTAAAGAATGCCAAAGCTTTGAAAAAGAAAGTTATAAACAATTTACTTAGTAAACAAAATAGTGATATGAATTTTTTATAATATGGATGATGATATTTTAGCATGTTTTTATTATTATAAATTTTTAGTATACAGACATATGTATTTTCCTTTTTAATAGGTTTTTAAATTATATACATCAAATTATTATTACTTTCATTTATGTTAATTTTATGTATTGATTAGATTACTTTCTAGAGGGCCACAGGATCATCAGTTGTACTTAAACTGTTACGTGCTATCCTCTTAAAATAAAGCCATTATCTTATCTTATATCTATCTATTCGAGCTGTCCAGTTGACTGGGCACAAATTGGCTCTTTGAGCTGTTTACTGACATTTTTCTTCAGTCACCGATGTCAATTAATAACAAATGCACACGTGCGTGTGTTCAAAATTGTCAGTAATTACTCCGGTTGAGTCCATCCAAACCGTAAATAATGGACTCTTTCATACAGCCGTGGTGGGATCTTGAAGGAACAAATCAAGCTCTGGCAACGATCCATAAAGGTGAACTCAATAGCGCACTCAACCGTGTTTACCAAAAATTCACAAACAAGTTCTATTCTTAAGTTTAGGGCCTGTTTAAAGCGGACACTTCGATAAATTTTATCTATTAATGCCAGCTACCTTATCCGAGGTGGCGAATCCCGAACCCGGTGATTCGATAAGAAGTCTCCCCAATTCGCGAAGCAGCACATGCATGTCACCATTTCTTTGATCATTATAACGAAAGCGTATTTGGGCTGTTTATGTAATGATTCCTGATGACAACGAAAAACAAAGGAAACGCTGTAGTGATTATCTTCTTTGTTTTTCTGTTATTTGTAGCATTGTTTTCGTGCTTTTGTTTAGCTTGTTTCTTTCTTGTCTCCAGTTTCCTCATGTTTTCTTGAATATTTCACTTTGCAGATATTTCGGTTTCTGCAGAATCACGTGGCTGTTTGAGGTTCAGACTCTTTTCTTTCAATTGTAACACAGTCATGAATAATCGATCCTTTAACGTCGCCAGAAGTGGACAAAGATTTTAAATTTGAAATCGTACTGAGTCAGTAGGTCAGCTTATCGGTAAAATTGAAGAACAGCTCCCCAAAATATCTGTCAGTCGACTGTTGGGCGACTGTTATGCAATCTTGTGAGTCGTGCTTATTTATTCCAAATTTAGAGACGAGTAAATAGACTGTCATCTTGGTCAGTTTGAACTTTCGCAATTACCTCAAAATAAACTTTGACGACCACCATGCGATAGAGGTAAATTTAGAGTGCGAGTGTCTTAATCTGAATTTGTTTCATTATGTCGGCCAACCTATTAGCTGCGAACAAGATTATTCGACAAAATGTCGCCAGGTTGCATACATTATGCGACGGCAACTAAAGTCATTAAGTAATTGTCTTTGTTACAAGTTCTTTAACAACTTCCACCAATTTATTTGTAATCAGTCTTTTCAACACCGGTCGTTAAATGGTCGGACAACGCTGTCTAACGGGTAAATCGATATACAGGTGTTTGGTGTTTATAAAACGTACTGCGCTCCACAACTGATATAAATCTATCCATTGGATACGATTGCGTTGCTTTTCACCCTTCCGACATCCGTGGCCATTTATTTTTATTTGTTATTTCTCGTCTTTCTTTTTTTTTCTCAAAGAACTTTCCATAAAAATACTGAAAATGAACTTATCAAACTGGGTGTACACTTTAAAACGATGATAGCCATTGCTTTTAAAGACAGTTTTTTACATCTGATGGCTCTTTTTAGTTGTCATTGACATTTGGCAATGGCCATTTAATACTCCATTTCATATTCAACCTCCTGACTCCGAAATTTGTCATTGTTTGATTATGCGCTACTCTTAGCCAGCTGACTTTTATATTAGCATGTATGTATTCCATCTTCGAGTAAAGGAACGCAAAAGGTTTTTGGCATCAGCACCTATCTCTTCAGTGTTTATAAAGTGAATGGGTGTGATCTGGATGGAATATTGAAAGAAAACGAAGAATTCCAAGGTGGTTAATTTTCTCTTTTTTTTTTTTTCAGTTCAGGTTTGAAGCTTGTTTCTTTGCGAGATTAATTAAAAAGCCTGATAAAACATATAACTTGGTTTAGGAATCTGATTTACCAACGGTACATATGATGCCTGTATATGTAAAGATATGTTATGAAAACCAAGTAGTAGATACTGTTTTTTCTTGCAGATCTTCCGTCGTCGATCTTGTTACGAAAGTTGTCTTCGTGAGGAAGGTAAAGATGCTAAACTATAGATCCTGTTTAGGCTAAACCGACTGATTAATAATGGAAATTGAGCTAAGTGGAGTGCAGGTTGGTTTGAGATCATACACGCGATTTCAAAATCAAACCGGAGTGTGCAGCATGTCTTTGATTTAAAATCACAAGTATGATTTCAGACCACAATTGCACAACACGAAGTTCAATTACCATTTTATTACATCTAAAGCTGTCTCATTGGCGGGAAAAAAGATGCGATTTAGAGCATAAAATGGTGCGTTTTGTGAATAGATCGCACTGGCGAGCGCCAATCAGATTGCAAGGATCACAAGTGAATAAAAAATGGATGTAATAAGGGAGATAACGTTCACCAAGAGAGCAGGTTATATGCTATTGTGTTCTCTAGTTATACATACACCTCGAGCGTCAGAGGTAGCTGCAGTGATATTTAGTCCAGAGTTATTGTATGATAGGAAGCGGCCAATGGTTTGGGTTATGTAAAGTTCTAAAAATTTAAGCCACCCTTACATAATGGAAACCTCGCATTAAAATACCAGTAAGTTTGCAATTGAATCCACACAGTCTAACAAGTCCGCATTTTGCTCATAACGTACAACAACGTTTGATAAGGTATTTAATCATTTCTTCCCTCGAACTTGATAAGATAATTCTTATTAGAAATATCAGATATTTTAGAAGAAAAACTCGGAGGGCGAGATGTTGTTAAGAAAATTTGGCAATTATGAGAAAACAAGTCTCCTGAAACTAGTACTATTAGGAGTTACAGGAATAAGTCAGATTTTTAAATTCGTGAGTGATAAATCAAGCCAACAAAATAAGCAAGGATATAATGCCTCACGCTGCAAGTAGTAAATCTGACAGCCATTGGTATAATTAGAGGGAAAAACAAAGATTTTGATGATTAGAGAGTAACTGGAGGGTTAAGCGTGCAAATCCTTTCTCACTTTTTGTAATACCTAAACCTGTTCTACTTTAAAAATGAAGCTGAAATCCAAACCTTTTTTTCATAGTTTTTTTGATTTTCTTTTAATAAATGAGTCACCGTGTTTTCGGAGAGGGGCTCGCCTGAAGAGCTGTTTGAAAAAAACCTATCTTGCAAACCTTCAACTTTCATATAATAGAAGAATTTCTTGAGAATGGCTGAACAGTATTAATTTGAAATGGTAGGCCTCTGCCTTACTGATAGACACGCAGACAATAAACTTTTTTTATTCATCCTATGTTCTATGTTTCTCATCTTATCATAGGAGACATGACCACGGCAAGTAATGCACTGAGACATTTCGCTGAAGAGCAGATGTCCTTCTTGAAGCGAATCAGACGCAGTGAGTTATTGAATGGATCTCTCTTTCACTGGCACGTGTTTGTGAGGGATTAACACACTGCAGCAGTTTGAATAACAAGGAATTTCGAATGTCTTGAGCACGAGATGATGCTACTTGTTAAAAAAAGATGCGAAGACTGAAATTCCACCTCTAAATCTTTAATTTCTTCAATCCTCCCTCCGCTAATTTCCCTCTAGTTTGTTGCAATCATTCATTAAGAACTGATCTCAATACACTTTGGCATTGGTGCTGCATTAAGAGTTTCCTTGCCGACGAATTTGTTCTGATTTTTGTTCTTAGATTCCTTGGACATGACTGGCAAAAGATATGGTAAGGTTCAATGACATGTTGTTTTGATAAACCATTTTATGTTTTTAGAAACTGATTCCATTTTCAGAGGAGCTTATTTATTTCTCATAAATTATTTATAGTTCTGTTTTATTATTGTGAATGCTTGTTTTTTCGTTTATTTGCGTTATTGTGTGTCTGGCCCTTGGCTTATCTGTAAGTAGCTCCAGTGTACCATATCCACCCTTTCCTATTCAGAGCGTTTAAAAAAACAGCTTTCTCTAAAGATTACAAAAATTCACATGAAATGCAATGTATGTACGTTGTATATATTGAGCATTTGCAGACTTTGATTTCGAACAGCTAGTTCAGCCTCATCAGGCTGGCTCAGGCTGATTGGCATTTCAACGAAATCTAATTTTTCATTTATTTGTGACGTTTAATGTAGGTAGAGAAAATTGTATTAATGGCAGCGCTAACAGTAACACGACTGCTATGGTTGTTGGCGGCCTAAGTATACTGTTCCACGAAGAAGAGGACACTGGAAGGTATCTAGGGACAGTAACGTGGAAACCTTTACAAAGTATGTGAAATTAAAATTCCTGCTTAATCACCTAAATTTAATTTGAAGAGCTCGCTTTAAATTAATATAGGGATCTATTCTTTTTCGTGAGAATAGAAAACTTACCACATATCACCCTCATGTCTCAGTCTCAATGGAATAAAATGCCGGATCGTACTCTGTGCAAAATAAATCATTACATCTTTATGTGCATTATTTTTTCCATTTATTCTTGTGTCTATTTGGTATGCATATTCACTTTTTCTTTTATCAACTTCTTTATTTCATGAGAGATGTAAGTGATTATTGGACCGGATACAAGATAGTTACCCTCTACAGAATGCCCAAACAGAGAAACATAGAATGCGAGGTGGTTGATAAGGTGAGATGAAGCACAAGCAAGAAGTTGTAAATAAGTGTGTAAGTAATTAAAAAAATAATTACATGAAAGCAATTGTCTCTAGTCTAAAAAATTAGCTTGCACGCATTTTATACCTAATGATATGCGCGAAAGCATTTCAGCATGCTCATCGGTCGGGATCAAATCAATTAATTCCAAACTGAGTGCAGAACTGAAGTTAAAAGTGAGTTCAGAAAGTTAAAATTAAATTGTTTGATAAGAGAGTCGATAAAGCACCACAAAACAAGAACGACCTCTGGTTGAAACGATTAGATCACCCCTGATGAAGGCACCAGACAGGAGTGTCAAAACGTTGGTTCTATGAATGGTAATTTCCCCGTTTCGTCCATTACGTCCTTGAATCAGAGTAGCATCAACCTTGTCCTCTTAATGCGTTACTAAACCTTACCCTACTTGGTTTGCTTTTTGAAGGGAACCCTATACAGCTCGATTCATGATCACCTTAGCTTAAATCTTTTGCAGTTGGTTAATCTAAGTGTGATATGTACATTATATTTTCAGAATGTCACGCAATACGACATTTCTAATTCTTCACATGGCGTAGAGAACCATTCCGAAGTATTTGTTTTGGTGAGGTTTACGAGTAAAAAAATCGTAAAATTAAGCTCTTGAAAGTAATTGTCAACAGTTTTACCTATTTAGTTCGAGTACAAAATTGTTTAACGTGTACGTTCCTTTACTTTTTCTGCCCAAAACTCTGAAATACAGTCTCACTGGAACAGCATTTTATTTTTGCATTTTATTTTGATTTCAATATTTCTTTTAATGATTATAATGCAATTTTTGCAGATATATTTTGCTTTCATTTCCTTCTAATATCATTTTCTCTTGAAAACCACTTTGACGTACCAACATTATCAAGCGTTTGACAGGAGCTTTAATTGGAGGGGTGAACCTTACCCTGAAAATAAAATATTTTCATTAAACTGACCTTTTTCTACTTTTATTAGGTTGTTTCCTATCCACACTCAAATGACCTTGAGAAACAATTTATGGATAGTCAATTGAGTGAGTAACCATCTTAATCTGTTTTAGGTAATCAAAATTGCTTTTATATTGCAGTAAATGGCTTGAACCCGGGGGTAACGTGTGAAAGTGTAGTCTGATCGTCCGGGTGAGTGTAGTCCTGAGAAGGACTGTTGTCGGTAGTAGAGACTGACGTTTCGACAACCT